AGTAAATGAATGAGTCAAACCAACTGCAGCATTTGCATTAATTAATCCATTAAATTGTGAAGAGGATCCGGCGGATGGCGCTGACCTCGTTCAGATGTGGTCTGCGTCGCGTATGGTGGCTTCTCTTTTAGCGGCCTGAACACAAATGTGCTCTGGACTTCATTCAGCCGTCGCCCACGCATCTGCTGTGCCTCCGCTGACTAACCGGCAAAGTTTTAGACAAGATTTGTCCAGAGAAAAAAGAAAAAAATGTGTGAAACAGAGTTTGAATCAGTTACACAATTTATTCGCTTTTCATTTAGTCGGCAGACTCTTTCGTTCAGACGTGATCTATTGCAGATTTATCATTTACAAAAATATATAAGTTCGCAGGAGTTTTAAAACAATATTTTGGTTTAATAATTTATTTAAATTTTATGCTACTCCTACCTAGTATGTTACTATCTATATGTGGCATTTATTGCACACTACAAAAACATTATAAAACTGAAGTATAATAAAATAAACACAAAGCTTTTTGTGTCTTGCATGTTTTTAAAAAGTCTGAATATCAAATATAATCAAACAAGAAATAATAAAAAATAGAAATAGATGCGATTAACTCTTTAAAACCGCACGTAGACCACAACAAGGTATTTTTTAAATATGTTTTTACAACATATCTGTTGCATCTATTAACTGTATATATTATTTATTGGGTTATTTGATTATATTTTAAGTTCAATATTATCAGTTAAGGCTGAGGCAGCTGTTTAGCACAAGTAAGAAAGTATTTGACAATTTTTGAGACAAATCTGCGATAAACACTCCAATTATGTTTTAGCGCAACAAAGTACAGTGATGTGTTGATTTTGTGTAAATTTGCACAATAATTCTGATGAAGTTGGAGGGACTGGTTGCTGTAATTGGTCAGTAACAAGAAAAAAACTGCATTGATTTGATAATTTAATCACACATTTAGTCGAGAATCTATTGGGCCACATAAGAAGCTACGGTGGGCCAGATTTGGCCCACGGGCCTCCAGTTTGACGTGACATAAAGAGCTGATGTTGATGTATTGATTATGTTGAGTAAATTAGTAAATTAAACCAATCAAAAACATCAGTAAATGAGATATTTTATTGTTCATGATTATTGGCACCTTTGGATTTCCATCATGGCGATTTTAATTTGTTTTAATTCATGTAGCTGCTAATGAAATTCCTGCAACAGTAATGAAGAAATATGTTAACATATAAACTAAGTTCTGAAGTTCATAATTACTGTTAAAGATATTTTTTCCCCAAAGATCGTTTACGTCTCTGACTTTTCCTCTCGTTTCTTCATATAAATGTATTTCCAAAATGAACCGATGATAATTTAAAGGCCTTGATTTACATTTATTTGATCAGCAGTGCAGCTCAGGAATCAAATGACATCAGATCCTTATCATTTCACATCCTTAGCTTTTTATTATTCTCTCTCTTATATCATCTGTTACATAATGAAGCCAAGTTTGGAGGGATACAGCTATCAGGTGACTCATGTGCTCTCTCAAACTTGCGTCTCTGCCTATATCTGAATGTAAAATGAAACTTTGTAGAAACATAAATCTGCTGGAGAAGAAAACTGACTGTGTGGGCTGATGGTGGGATTTATTTCCAAATAAAAGATTATGAGATAAACGGTGCAAATTAATACCTGCTGCAGCTTTAATCTGAGCCGTTGTCCAAAGTTCACTGAATATTCAGTCAAACTCACGATGTGACGTCATAGTTTTATGCTTTATAGTGGATCGCCACAGAGTGGGAGTGACTATAGAGCACATGTGTCAAAATCGAGGCCCGTGGGCCAAATCCAGTCCACCGTAGCTTTTTATGTGGCCCTCTAGATTCTAAACACTGAGTGTGATTAAATATCATGTTCTCAATGCAGTTTTTATCCGTTTACAGTCCCTCCAGTTTCTTGGGAATTACTGTGGAAATTCACGCAAAATCAACAAATTGCGCTAAAAACTATAGAAGTTTATTGGAGATTTTTCTCAGAAATTGTCAAAAACCTTCTTACTTTCTTACTAACAGCAGCTTTAATTAACGTCAGATTAAAGTCCATGATTTATACAGAAAGTAATAAAAAGTTGCATTTACCGTCATAAATAAGCGCAAATATTGAAAATATTTCCAGATTAGTGCCACAAAGATTGACAAAAAGAATAACAAAATCTTAGAGGGACTGAAAAGATGTTCAATAATATTAGTTAATTAATAAACTCATTGATATTTTAACAGTTTGAACAGGTTTTATCAATACATTCTGGCACAACCGGCTCTTTGCTTTAAATGAAATTTTTATCCAAATAATGCAAATCTGGCCATTGTAATGGCCTTTTAATCCAAGTTTTAGTGCAACTTTGCATTGAAAGTGTCATTATTTACTGAATGACACTTCCTAACAGTCGTAAACATTCATGAAGACTCCTTCATGTTCATAACAGACCTCATCACATTACCATTCAGTCTTCTAAAAACTGCTTTTTCTAGTTGCTGATTTATTAGATCTGAAACAAGCGTAAATACTGACTCTAGGCTGTTATGTTACAGTCTGATAGCATTGAGTTTCTTTAGGTTCTAGTTAGTTCTGTTGCAAAATCAACGCCTGCTTTCATGTTATCACAGATCCCGCTTTTCACTAAATATTATCTGTTGACTTCTGATCAGCTTAAGATAGCATCTGGAGCTAAAATCGATTTCACTCCCGCCCCAGGCAGGATTTATGTGGTAAGACCTGAAAAGATCAGCTGTTATTGCGGATATCAATCACGCTCATGGCCGAACATAAAGGCATCTGTCGCTGAGCCTTCACTTCAAGCTGACATTCACATTTCCTTCTCTTATCCATCTCCGTCACAGTCGCTGTGTTCTCCGTAACGCCAGCCGGACTCAGTCTGACGGACACAAAGCCCTCCTGTAGCTGCGGCGGGTTGACCTCACTCACTTTTCATACAGCCAAGATACCAAGGACAACTGCAGATGGTGCCGATGAAGGCCGAGTGTAAAGCAGGAGAGTAAAATGAGCAGCAGCGACCGACGGCATACATCATCTCCCGCTGACTGTCCATCTGCGTACGGCAGGCTCAATTAAAAATAGACATTACTTTAACAAGGAGATCTAACAAAAATGAAACCTGATCTTCCAGTCCTCTGGTTGTGTCCCATTTTTCCCCCGAAAGCCACAGAAAGCTGTAGTTTGAGAAAACTACAGCTCTGATAATGAAATTAAAATCCTGGTACGTACTTTTATTCTTCAAAATAATTTTGTGTTGCGTCCAGCCGATGTTCAAAATTGGTTCAAAATTTGACGCCAGCAAATGATTCTGACGCAGGTCGTCACTTGTAATTAATAATTAAACATATATATATATATATATATATATATATATATATATATATATATATATATATATATATATATATATATATATATCTTTGGTACATCAACCTGAAGTTTTCGTTTTATTGGTTGGCTTGTGCAGTTTTTTTTTCTATCTTTCCTTTTGCACTTCTGGTCTTCCATATAGATAGTAACAATCACATTATGGATGCTGCAGATATTGACCCTTTGCAACTACGTCACTAAATCATTTTAGCCGCCATGATGGACGTCGGAAGTGAGGATCGGGAATATTGAACAGAGCGACTGAAATTGTTTTCCAAAGTTGTTTTTGCCAGTTCATTCATGGCTTCTATTTGTTAGCGTCGAGCTAATTTGTCTGTGAACGTAACACACCTGGTTGGGGCTCATAGACGGTGATATTTACAAAAGTTGGACATGGCTAGCTTAGAAACCGACCCATACCTCCTCCCTCTTGACATGTTGATCAAATTACCGACTCTCCCTGAATTCACACCACGTCATAAACAGCGATTCCCTCTACACCGGATCAGCCGTACAAAAGACGAGATGCTAACCCGTTTTTTCGTACTAGGCTACGTGACGGCGGCATTGTTTCCATGGTTACTAAGGGTTAGACACGGACCTTCTCCATAATGCGACATTTCATATCTTTCTAATCATACTTATTAAGTTTATGAACGATAATTTTCTTATCTTGTAAAAAGTGTTCGCTACAAATCCGCGGTTACACCGAGGGCTAACAGTCATTATGGTTAACGGCTGGTATCCATCGCCGCTGCGTCTTTCCTGATTAAAGGATTTTACAGTAAAATGACAAGTTTGGTTTTCACCCTGAAACCATTTTTACTGTCAAATCAACTTAATAAAAGAGATACTGGACGTCCATTTCTATGTTTTTTGACCCATTGGTTGATTTGACGTCCGTCATGGCGGAGCGGGAACAGTTTGTAAGAGGGTGACGTCACGTGCAAAGGGTCAATATTTTCCTACAGTTCTTCTTTTTTTAGACGTGTCCTAGTTTTGTTGTCTGTTTTCTTTAATAGCTAAAATGTTTCTCTTCTCCTTCTACCTCAAAGAAAGGACCGACTTACTGTTTGTTTCCTCTCTGTTTTGCATTTAAGAATTTTTAGCTTGCTTTTTGAACAAAGGCAGCCTTTCATCATGTTGTGTAAAAATACCCACAGGCGGCCTTTTATTCCTCCCAAAGTGACATCCTTCTGCAGCGCTGCAGCGATAACCACATGCACGAAGCGGGCAGAGTGGTGCTTCACACCTGACACTGTGTCCTTGTTGTGCTGGATGTTGTGATTTCACTCTGAGCTTTCTGCTGCAGCGGTGTCTCGTTCAAACACCACAAGTTTTCTGTTATTTTTTATGAGTTTTAGCACCCTGACTCTGTTTATTAATAACACATTCTCGGTGTCTGTGGAGTGTTGCACACCAGAGCTATTGCTGTTAATGTTGTGAAAAGTTGGAGCTGCTGTAGCTCTCCAACAGCTCACACAAAGATGCTGATTGACTTCCGAAACGTTTTCAGATATTTTTGCAGCAAAGTGACGAATAAATTGAAACAGATGCTCATGAAGTTATTTCTGTTCGTCTTCCAGGGGATTCGTTCAGTCAGTTCCGGTTTGCAGAAGAGAAGGACTGGGAGACGGATCCATTCACAGCCAATCAGGTCAAACTTTCACTTTCATTAACCTAAATCAGGGTGTTAAAACCTTTTCATGATTTCTGTTTTATGGCTGCTTTGAGTCTTTGTGCTGCCTTTTCCTTTCAGAGGCGTTTGATTTTCTTTATTTTTTAATCTTCAGATGTCGCCGGTGGTTTTGGACCTTCCTGCTCTCGCCCAGAGTCTCCAACAAGTTCCTCTCCATCGGAGGCTGAATCTGGAAGCTGAACTGGTTCAGGTTGGAGCTTTTTCTTACGTCTCAGGTGGAATTGAAGTGGCTGAAATAAAGTTGTGGCGTAAAAGAAAATTAGGTTATCACTTAAAGGTATTTCTGTCTTTGACATTTAAAACAAGTGTATAAAGAGAATTAAATAACCTTCATGAGAAGCTGCTTCTAAGATGATGTTTTTCCTTTTCTTAGCCATCGTTAGCATAGCTCTGTAAGAACATGGTGTGCAGTTACTATTTGTTTTTAACTGTGGCTGTAAGTTTAGAAAGGTGGAAAATTACTTCCAGTTATCCTGATCTGTGTTTTTAAATAATTTCTTTAAGGTATTTACTCTTTGTCTTCATGTTTCAGGTCTCAGCACCAGCAGAGCTGCCAGCTGTGAGCCTCACACCTAAACAGGAAGTACCCAAATTTCCTCCTCCGTCTGCTGCCTTTAAAGGCCTCGGTACCGGTCAGAAACCAGCAGTGGGTTTGAACTCCCAGGTTTCCTCTGTGGCTGTTAAGCCTGAGGAGGAGGAGGAGGGTGATGAAGAGCTGGATGAGCTACTTGGTTTACAGAAACCCGGGTCAGATGATGCAGGACATCAGCTGAGCTGCAGTCCAAACGAGGAGAGACGATCTCCAGAGAAAGGCGAGTTTTATTACCGCCTGTTCTGCAGGTTGATGCTACTGATTATTTTTTAAGCATTATTTATAAAAATTGATAAGAAATTTTTACAAATAATTAATTTTTTTGTGTGTTAGAGTTCTTTCACTATTATAATTTTATTCTCAGAATTTAAAAAATAAAATCAACTTAGCCCTGATATTATGTTGTAGAGTAAAACTTAATTCAAAGTCCAAATAATTAGAAGCTGAAAATCAAGATGACGGCTCTGCGTGTGCTGATGTCAAAGTTTAACTTAAATCTATTTTTGGTTTTTGAATATTTATCGCCCAGCCCTGTATATGAAATGTTACCGAGATGCTTTAATCTTGTGTGGACTCAAACTTCCTTCTACCTTAATATTTTCTTCTGAAGGGTTTGAAGAAGTGAAGGAAGTTGCATCAGAAGAAAAAGCTTTAGACGAGGATGTAGCCCCTCCTAAGGCTGCGGAGGTCAAAGAGGCGATGACTGAGGAGGACCTGGAGGACTGGCTGGACAGCATGATCTCCTGACCATGAAGAAGATGCAGTTTAAAGACTGGAGGTAAAACGGGACCATCTGCTGTGAGGTTTGCAGGAATGTCTTGCATTTCTTTGGCTGAAGACAGCCGGTATGTTTCCGAAGTCAGGGCGTCCCAACCTGTGTTCAGTACCGTACGTTTCTCTGCCAGAGATTGATGGTCAAACAGGCTACAGAGGACACAATATATCGTATTGCATCAGTTTATTATTTTCCTCCTACATACGTACAAATGGCCGCACAGTTTCAGCCAATAAATCATTGAACCAAGTTTCATAACTCTCCTCTGTTGTGGGGTTCGTCTACTGTGGAGAAGAAGTGCAGGGTGGGCAGGACACCACAGAGTAGGAACACAACCAAACTAAGCAACATTTACACAAGAAATGTCTAGATTTATACAACAAATGTTTTTTTTTTTGTTAATTTAAAAGCCAAAAAACCGATGTGATTAAGACCAGAACTAGAGCACTGCTTGTGTTAAGAGGAACAAAGACTCGTTTTTGCATAGTTAATTTTTCCAAAGGCACGTTGGCACTTGATAGACACCTAACAGATTCGGCTCTGGTCCTGAAGGAACCACGTTCGTTTCGTTACGCGCTTGAGCCAGCGTTGAAAAGGCAAATCATTTAACTCAATCAGCACTGATCCATTCCAGGAGCAAACGTCCACTCAGGTTGACGAGAAATTGTGCATTTACGGACATTCAGTCGTCATGCTGTAACCCTTAGCCGTGTTTCAGATGTCTACACACAACACATGGTGGGTTTAAGCAGGTGGGAAAGGCAATGTGAGTCAGAATCAAAACAAAGGGCTTTGCATAAATGAGCCGTCGGCGTCTACCGCTCACTGGACGCACAAATCCGGAGCGTCCAGTGAGCGGTAGAATTCAAAATGCGTTCAGGTTCTGGTAACAGGGCGACGTCAAGTAGGGGAGGGGCAGACCGCCCCCCTCCTAGCCCAGCTGGTCCTCGTATTGCTTGCGGAAGCAGTCTCCTGCAGGGAAGAAGTCCCAGCATCTCTCCTGGTACATCTTCCACACGTACGACTCCTGGAAGAGGAAACGGGAAACGTCCGGTTGGGATGAAAAATTCAGCAAGGCGAGAATGTTCAATAGTATTATTTAAGGATTCATTGATATTTTAACAGTTAGTGAACATGTTTTTTATCAATACATTCTGGCACAACCGGCCATGATCTGGATTTGGCCCAAAACAAAAACTGTCCAAACTGGATCCTGTAGTTGAGGCCACAAATGGCCCCCTAACCTCGTTTTGGACACCGCTAGCTTAGACTGTCAGTAGCTGCATTGCCATTGAATTTAAAATTGTACAAAATGGAATTAAAAAGAAATGCTAATTAGTTTTTTAGAAACTGCACATCAAATAAAAGCAACTTAAACCTCAGGTGCACCGAAATTGTCAAAGCGAGCCCACGCGTTGCTTCATTCCCCTGCAACATTCCAGCCCACCTGAAATGTTGCATAAGTAAAGACCTGGAGCCGGAGCTTCCTGTCCGTCCTCTGCTGTCTTAGTGTGCAGAGGCACCAACAGACGTGGAGGTTTTCACGTACCTGACCCGTGTGTTCAGTCTCATCCTTGTTGATTAGGTACATCAGGAAGAACCTGCACAAGGAGGGCAGGAGTTATTTAAAATGCCTAAAGTACTCAGAGTTTAAGTGTGTTGCTGCTCTTACAGGTAGTTGGCCAGGTTGTGCTCTTGCAGGGTGTGAGTTTCAAACCCGTGAGGCGTCCGATCAAAGTAGTCGTTCCCGATGCCGCAGATGAAGCATTTGGTCTGACGGAAACAATCGGGAATTACATATTTGGATTTTAGAAACTGTTAGAACTTTTAAGTACATTTACGTATATATTCTCTGTATCCTCACTTTTATTTTGTGAGTAATTAGCAATAAATTAATCGCTAATTTCCATTGCAGTATTTTTTGAAATGCAGTTTTGCTTATTGAGACATCATAACCCATTTTAATCATGGTTTTGGTTGTAGGTGGTTTTTATTTCTGCTGTTTATCGTTTCATTTTGGATATTAAAATATTTCCCAGCTCCAGTGCTAAATGTTGTTTGGTCTTATTATATTACTTTAAAATGGTCCAAAAACAACAATATTTTCGTTTATCGCGATAATTACTGGGACAATTTATCATCCAGCAACAAGAAAAATAAAAAATAGCTGAATTTGTGTTTAGACTTTTATTCTGAAAAAGCCTAAAGTTGTAAATGTAATTCAACCGGATTCTTTTATTTTTAATTACAGTCTTGTTCTAAGTTTTTGGTTCTGTATTTTAAAAAAATTGGGGGGGGGGGGGGATGCAGTTAGAGAAACTGAAATACCTACCAGACTTTCCCGCAGTGCATTATAAGCCTGGCGGGCCTCCAGGCTTAACATTATTGCCTTTTTAAAGACTTTAGGTATTAATTTTCCAGCCTCCCAATAACACAAAGCTACCAAGTGATATTTTAAAATTTCCTGCCAACTTTAAACATTTTTTAACTCAAAAACATGGCAGCCGGCTGGACGAATGACAGCCGTAGCGACTCAGGCTTAACAAGTTTTCTGAAATGCAGAACCAAAAACTTAGAACAAGACTGTAATTAAAAATAAAAGAACCAGATTAAAACTCTGACCTACACACCAGAAAATCCAGGAGTGTCATTAATTTTCTTTGGACTTCCAAGAAACAAGGAAGCCTGTAGATGCTAGTTTTGGTTTTAGTGCCAAGATGGCGTCCACTGTGTGTTTGAGTTATTAAAATATGCAGTTCTGAGCATTTTTAGAGGAGTTTCAAGGTTTCACAGGTGAGACGCGAGTCTTACCTCCATGTCCTCCTTGACCTGCTCCTGCTGGTCTCTCAGCTCCCCAAAGGCGTCGATGATCAAACCTACAGCAGGTTGGGGAGTTCTGATCAGTCAGGGAGTACTTCTGGATCTGCTCTGATCGGGAGTAAATACTTACCCTGAATGATGGCCAGCAGGATGACGATGACGAAGAAGAAGAAGGTGATGTCAAACAGGATGCGGTAGAGTTCGTAGGGATCTCCGGCCGGGTCCTCCAGCTCGTCTCCGATGCCTCCGCCGGCTCTCACGCCCACATACATGTGGAACAAGTAGCACTGAAACCAGTTAAAGGACAAAATCATTGAAACTTTCATTATCTGCTTTACGTTTATGTCATGAATTTATGTTAAGCGCGATTGTGATGGAAACTGTCAAGGTATTCTAAAGGAATTAAAAGCTTAAGAATCATTCTTTCTGCTCAGTCGTGTCTTCGTGCCGCGATCAAGGCCAATAGGACCTGATCGTCATCGGCTCAGAATAAAAGCCAGAGGAATCTCTTTCAGCTGGAAACAAAGTGAAGTTATTTTCCAATTTCATGCCTTTTCTTTGTCCTAAACAAACGGAGGTTAGACGTACCGTCATCATGTCGTCACACTTCATGTCGGGCTCGTCTTCGTCCTCGCTCTTGTTGTAGAACTTTCTGAAGAAGTTGAAGGCCACCACAGTGTAGAGGTAGACGACCACGGCCAGCAGACCGACGGTCAGCACAAGCTGAGGGGAACCATTAAACTTCCTTTACAAATATTCTGTCCAGGTGAAAAAACTATTCACACATTCAAGGCTGGACTGCTGTTTACTAACAGGAAGTTCAGTTGAGATTAAAAACAGAGATCATACTTCTCCTATTTTTGCTCCCTGTCAAAACCAGGATACAATTAAAGATTCTCGCTTTTATCCACACACCAGCTAAGCTTACATCCTGGTGGACTTCGGTGAAGTCTTTTACCCACAATTCATTGCTGCATGTGACAGTTTGAATTAAAATGTAAAATATTTAAATCATTTTTCCTTTCTTTGTATTCAATAAGTCATAATATCTTTTGGAAACCAAAATAATTGCATGCTGTACGTCTAAAATCGAACTGCCTTCTGGAATGATGAGAGGAAATCTAAGAAATAAACTAAATAACTTTAGTTTGTTCAGGGACCGAGAGGGTCCTTCAGGAAGGACCCGGTCAGAAATGACCCGGTCAGAAATGACCCGGTCAGAAAGGACCCGGTCAGAAAGGACCCGGTCAGAAAGGACCCGGTCAGAAAGGACCCGGTCAGAAAGGACCCGGTCAGAAAGGACCCGGTCCTTCCTGAAGGAGTCCGTAAAAGTGACACATACATATTGAAGATATTTCTGGTTCCAAGCAAGAAGGCGGTTACTAAATGTTGGCTCCATTTATATTATAAACATTATCCATGATATGGACTTTTTCAATATGTCTCCATAAGGAGAGAGATGTTGGGAAAAACGGAATTGTTTTATAGTCAAAGACTTGCAGCAGTTAATTGTTGATTTTTTGCTCCTGGGTGATTCTTTTTTTGCGGCAACATTCCATGTCCCCATGTTTTGCTTACAATTATTTTTTTGTAAAATGTGCCAAATATTCACAATAAAGTATTTTAATTATATTTATATGTTTGCCGTTATTCAAATATAAATTAACTGCTTTTTAAATATTATTTTGTTCTTTACACACCTTTTTGGTGACCAACATGTTCAGTTTCATTGCATCCCCAGTGCAATGTAATAGACTTCATCATGAAGTTTAAACTATAAAACATATTTTTTTATGTTTTTCTTCAATAAGTTGATTGACTGGACTAAACATAATTTTAATATGCATTGAATCTGTTGAAACTATTTTTCCTATTTGATATTTTCCTCATATTATACATGTCCCAGCACTAACTTTCCACCCTGTTAGGATTTTTCCTTTTTGCCTTAGAAAAGTCTAAAATTCCATAAAAACCATTTAATGTAAGTGACATCAACTGGTTTTGAAGTGAATTTAACCATGGAAAACAACGTAAGCTTCAACTGTCACCATCTCTGTACATTTTCTTATCTTGAAAGAGGCAATCCTGCAACCAATGATGAAAATCGTCAGATTTTAGAATCGAAGACATTGATTTTCCATTCCACACAGGTTTTTATTAAATATTGTTACAGAAACAAACAGAAGCACTCTGCATTTTTCTGTGCCATTTTGGAAGTCGAAGACCAATAAATGCAAATATCGGTCAAAGTTTTTAAAATGACCAATATTTTCAATGCCGTCAGTAATGAGTAAAAAAACAGTTTTTTTCTTTACAGACATAAATAATTCGTAACTACATGATAGAATTTCAAAAATAAAACGTATATAGTAAAAGGGACACACTCTTTAAGAAAGTCATTGTTTTTCAAAATTTACATGTTTAACTATTTGTGGCCTATATGTAAATGTTGATAACAGGGTGGAACACATTCAGACCTGTAATTATTAATTTATCCAATCCTGAGCTTGCCCATTATTAATTTATTATTGTTAAACATGTCAGTGTTGTAACACAATATTTAAAACTTAAAACATTAATAATTTTTTCAAATGTCCTGAGGCCGAAATGTTGCCCCAAAAAAGAACCACCCTCCTCTGGTTGACTTTAACCGAATGTTTTTCTTTTTCTGGGACTGGCTGTTGCTTGGTTTAGCTCTAACCTTAATGTTTTGGTTCATTCCGCATAAAAACAAAGTTTAAAAAAGTAAATACGCTTTCTGTGCACTTTGAGTCCACTCTTCAGAGGCTGTGAAGCAGACACCATGTGAATAAACTGACCAATTCTCCCACTTTTTCCTTCTACTCTCCAATGTTTCGCTGCAACTCGACACAAACTGCTGGGTTTCCTCAGATTAAAGACTTCTAACTGAATTATAAACCGACTGTAATGTTTACTGACCGGGCTCATATTTATTTTTGAGATGATGTTTTGTGAATTGACACTTTGTAAATAAACAGAACTGAATGTTAACTGTGTCACTGTTTTTAATATTTTCTTTACAGTTTATTATTATTCCTCAGGTGTGAATTTATGAGCCTCCGCAGATCAACCTCATTTAAAAACAGTCCATCCAAGTTATGAGGTTTTTTCAGTCACTAAATTAATCTCAGTAAGAAGTTTGAACTGTTCCAATGTAAATGTTATGTAAATGCCTAATTTTCTTAGTTTGAACCTGGATGAATAAAAAGTCATTTATTTCCATCCAGCTGCTTTGGTTTAGCGACATTCTTGATGCTGTACAAATCTTAAATCTTCAATAAATCAAATTACTTTATTCTTTTTAATCATGTCATTTTGTTCTTCATCAATTTTCTTTTAG